GTGAACGTTGCCATCTCTCGACGCACGCGTTTAGTATTTATTTCATAATTATCATACATGAAAATTAGTGATTCAGCGTGGCTGAATATATACCCGTCAGTTTTGTGTGTGTGTATTTTATTTAAAAACTCTAAAATAATATTTAGATCTGTCCGCGCTGGAATGATTCATTACCATTGTTTCCTATTTTTAGAAATGAGTTCTTTAGATTCTTTAGATTTTTCACGCTTTGCTTGTTTAAAAATAACCAGAGAAGGAACGCTTTCCTTTCTCTCCTTTACCGTCTGGAAACAGGTGTCACAGGTGTGAAATAAAAACAATTCGTCGATGATTGCGCTTGATCAGTCTCGTTTGGTGCTGCCATCTTCGCGATCAGGAATAGCTGCTGGTAGTACGAGAAATCGATAGAAGCCGGTTGCATTTAAATTTCAAGCCGGCTTGCGGATGAATTAATTATAAATGTCGCTGTCTAAGTCTCCCGAAGGAGTTGATGCATTCCATGGCTGGCATGATGAATGGGATCGCGGCGTTATAAACCGGCGTGCCGTTTGAATAGTCCCTTATTTTTCATTGTCGATTGCCGTAAATTTAATTTATCATAACTGGATATGAAGAGTGAAGGGAATATTTCGTGTTATTAAATAAAGAGATGGATTTTCCGGAAGGAATTTTCCATGTACGGAGGGAAACGTCTGAGGCCAGACATTCCGTTTCTGGAAGATTTGACGAGCTATACGATGAATGACGGAAACGTTATCGCTTACGGTTCGACAAACACCGGGCATTAACGTGAAATGCAATTGAAATAGCGCGAGAATATCCATTTTCCTTCGTTGCGTGTGATTTATAGGAGTAAATTATTCAAGAATTTTTTTCGCCATTCTGCATAATTCGATTACGAGTTGATTGCAATGCGAGGAAATTTGTGAAGCTGTTGTTCCTGATTTTTATGGGCATATATATTTTTCTCTGCTGCTGCGTAACACATAATCTAGTAAATTTTAATCAATTCCATTAGATTTATAAATATTTATTATTCATAATTTAGCTTTTCCGATTCAAATTAAAATTATTATAATACTATAATACTAATTACGTAGCTTAACAGTTTAAGCAGTTTAATAAGACGTTCTATTTGTACAAGATGTTATTATAAAATCATTAGAGTTTAATTCCAAACTCCGACATACACGTCGCATTTCTGAAATTAAATTAATTAATTTCGCGACAGCAAAGTCCCTCTCTAACGCTCTCCATTTTCTCGTTTCTTAAAGTAAGTGCTAACATCGATAACCAGTTGTCCATGTCTGCATGCTGATTTTTCTTACCTACATTCCGGCGACCTTGACGTAGAGTTAAAATCGATTTCCAAATGGCAAGAATGCACTTTCTACAATCTTTCGCAATTCGAGAAGGAGCGGGAGTTCGAGCTCTATCCGGGAGAACCGTTAACACTTGATATCAATGCGAAAACGAGCCTTCGATGACTTTTATGACGCCATTTCTTCTCACATTGGTGTTCCACCACAATGAATCCAGCGGCCACACATCTCGCAAACGCCTCGACTGCCAATTAATGCGCCCGGAATGCACCGGCTGCGAATGCCGGCTCAAACGATGCATTATATCGACGTCGAAAGGTAGACGCGCAAAAGCGGCCTTTTAGCATTAATGAATTGAAATTTGCTTTATGCGCTTGCAGCTTTAACGGGGGAGGGGGGGGAGTGAGGGGGGGGGAACAACCTGTGATATTTAGCCGATAGGTTAATCGTGCTACGGTTTTACAAGGTAAAGCTAAATCGCGTTAATACTGTTCCCCGGAAAGTATGTTAACTTGGGACACACGTACTTCGGAAAACCGTAGCTGGTAAAAATGGCGAAGTTAGAGCGTTTATAACGTTTCGTTTCTTCTTTCATTTTTCTTTGAAATTACCGATTACCGGAGGAAAAGTGTTAAAGAAACTCGACTCTAATTCGACCATTTTCCAAGCTGGTCCATGTTCCGAGTTATCAAACTTTATCGTATTTAACTTCGTACATTCGACTCGGCGCAAAAAATCGATTCGAATCAAGAGGAATTAAAATCTGAATACGCGGTCATTTCAGGGAATGGCCGTTCTTGCTTTTCGCGTGTAAGGAGATAATTATGTTTACCCGACTTCTTTTCCAATTTTAAAGAATATATCTCCTTAAATTTTATTTTATTAGAATTTTTTATTAGACAAATATATTTCCGCGAATGTATCTCCATTTTTCTCTATCAGACACGCGAGTGTCTCTCGCATCACGTAAAACATTTGCGAAAACGTGCAAATGCGATTTTAAAAAAAATTCCGAAACGCGAGGGCCGCGGAGAGGAGGAGATAATGACAAATGCCCGCGCGAACGGCTCCGTACCGGCGAGATAAAAGTAAGATAAAGGTAAACGGCCGATCGGAAAAGGTGTGTGCAGATCGGTGCACACGATACCATTTCAGAGGCCGCTCTTTTTTTTTTTTTCCGCGAATAACGCGCCCGATCTCACGAAAGGGTCACGCTCTGATTCGCCCGGCCTTTCGCTTTCCATTCGACGCACGGCGTGGAAGCTGGACCCGCGCATTAATTGTCAATTACTTTGCCGTAAAACCGGGTTTCGCGTTTGCCGTTTTAACGCGCTCCCTCCCCCCCCCTCCCGCGGGGCGGCCGGGAGATAAAACGTCCCGCGTTATGCGCGCGGATACGGCGTTATTGTGCGTTTATACTCGCAATAATGGTTACATTTAATCTGCGCCGATCGGCGTGGCTCTGCGGTCGCTGCGATCCCGTTTTCGAAATGGCTGCAAGCCGGCAATTACCGGCGATGACACACAATGCAGTTTTTCCGTCTGCCCTTTTTCATCAAATAAAATAAAATAAAAGAAAAAAAAAAAGGAAAGATTCTCTTGATGCGCATCACGTCGAGTAGTTACGATCGTAATGAGAACGGAAAAGCAACGCGAGCTCTGGAGTATTCAGTCTGTTGGAAAATAAGTATGTTATAACGGTTAATAGTTCCGCGAAGATCAAGCTAATTACACTTTACTTTCTTCAATGTTAATTCCTCGAATTAATTCCGCGTGTTTTCTTCTTGTTTACGATACACTTGCTGTAACGGACGATAGCTGTTGTAGCGTTATTTCTGCAAAATTCTAAAACTATAAATATTCGCGGATTGAACAGAAGAAATTTAATACGTATCGATTTTATTGCTCCCGTCAAGATTTATTATCTCTATATTCCCCTCTATCTTACGGAATAATCGTATCGAGATGAACCTCCAGAGGTGAGGTAAGCAGATTTTATTTAACGCGAACGTCAGATAAGCCTGACGTCGCCGGAGATAAAGGCTCTTACAAAATCACCGCGCTTCCGGACTCTCCTCTCCGGAAGAGGTGAACTGACCGGTGGTTAAGTATGATGACACATGGGAAAAGGTAAATTGAACGCG